TTGGTTTCGCCGCCCAAACGGATGTCATAACTTTCTTTAGTTTATTTGATCGAGCCTCACTCTCAATTCTTGCGTTCATCCTTCGGGATAGATACATGATTTGAGATAAAGCGCTCTTTCATCTAAACTATGAAAATTATGGGGTCAGTTTGACTTCATCTTTTTTCAAAACTAAATTTTTTAAAAACGTCCTTCCGAAGCGGGCAACGGGATTTCAATTCCGATGACCGACAGCTTCTTACGGGCAAACTCCACACCAAAAATAGTGCCGACAGTGAGGTTCATCATTGGCTTTGTGTTCTTTTTCCCTTGGTAGATTTAGATGTCAATAGTCGATCAACTATGACATACACCTGGGCTCTAAAAAGAAAAAAAAATAATGCAGAAAGAAACTTATGTTACTATAAAAGCCTAGGTTTACTGTAGCAGCTATGTAAAATAAAGTTAGCACATCCTATGCTTATTATGGTAGCCGAAAAATATGTAAATAAAAACTACAACAACCAAGGCTATCATGCCCCAAAAGGGTAGTATATAAGAATAATAAAGCTAATTTATTCGTCCCAAGAAAATGTTTAACAATCACAAAGCACAATCATAGAACATAATATAATAAAGAGACCACACTTGACTTAATCCTAAAGCCAGGGTTAAAGCCTTATGGTTTCTAAAAGATGAATTACGAAATGGGGAAAATTGTGACAAGACCGAGTCATGATCCGATGATTTCATCATCCTAGGTTGTCATGATCCATGATCTACTTAGTCAAAAAGATAATTAGCCCAATCTAACCAAAAGATTCTTGTTACAATCATGAGTTGTGTCGCCCAAGATATCTTTGTAGACCCAGACTGGGTTATTTATTCAAGTTATGAGTTTTATTTATTTGTTTATTAAGGATTCACTTTCTTTTCAATGTCTTTTGGATTTTATGTGTTTTTTTATTTTAAATTTATTTAATTTTTATTTGATTTTTAATAGAATTGTATTGTTTATTTTCAATAGAATTTTCTTTTAGTCCTTTTTATTTGATTTTTAATAAGATTGTCTTTTAATCTTTTTTATTTGGATTTTAGTAGGATTTTTTTAAAATTTCAAAATTTATAACAAGTTCAAATGACCTTCAAGACCCTTGAAATTTCATTGAGGTGTTCGTAATTATATTTTAAATAAACTCTAAAGTTGTTCTAGGCTCATTTGAAATTTAAATTATCATATTTACTTAATTGGTTAATTATTTAAATATTATTAAAAAAAATTTTAATGAGTAATCTTTTTGAATACTTTTGTTCTGCTTTGTTCACTTGATCTATTGGGGAAGATTTCACTCAATTTAGAATTTTTTTGGAAAATTTACGAAGGTTTTAGTTTATAAGGGTATATTTGCAAAATTATAAATTTTGACTTAAACCACTTTTATCTCAAGGTGAAGGTTGCTTATTATATTATATTTTATTTTGATAAGTGATTTGAATTTGTTGGTTGAAATTTTCAATTCTACTTATTTCATTCATTAAGTTTAATAATGAGAGAGATAGATTTGTAATTTTAGAAAGTAATTGCAAATAAACCCAAATTCACTTTTAAATATTTACCTTTTATCATTTAATTTTTCTTTAACCTTTCATTAATGGTTTAAGATTAGGTTTCATATACCTTAAGTTGATGAGATTTGTTTTGATGCTTTAAAAGCAAGTAAAAGCATTCTTGTAATTTTGAAAAACTACAAATAAGCCTCTAATTACTTTTAAATGTTTCAACTTTATTAATTATTTTCTATATTGTTGATTAATGTTCATTTAGGTTCAATTTTTATAAATTTTAACTTTAAATATTTAAATTAAGGGTTTGATATTTAAGAAGGGCACATTTGTAATATTAGTAAAATCACAAGTATGACCCTCTTCATCTTTCCAATTATGTATTTTGTTATACTTTGATTTTTTTGTGATTTATTAATGAGTTGTATTTAAATTTCTCAAGTTTGAAGAGTTTCAATTAGTAAATTTAACCTTAAGGATAATTTTGCAATTTTTCAATTTTATCATATTTTAATTAAAATTTGGTTGATTTGACTTGTTAATTTTTATTAATTTAACTTGAAGTATTTTAAATATTGATTTAGTCATTTTCCCCATGATTTGTAATTATTAGAGTTTTTTTTTATAAATTTATAGTGTAAATTTTCACATTGTTAATAATTATAAATTTACCCCTTTTATGTAATTTTGCTTTCCAAGCTACGATTTGATTACTTCATTACTTGTTTAAGAGGTCTACTTATTAAAATTTAAAGAGATAATTTTTTGTTTTAAGTAATGTTTAGAGGTAAAGGGTTAAAAGTGCAATTTTTAATTTACAAATATACCCTTACTTTCAATTAAGTGGTTTATTGATTTCAATGGGTAAAAATATCATTTCATTTCATAGTTTTACTGTTTTTAATATCCTCTTTAAAAAAAATCACTTAATTTTCAAAATTTTACTACCGTACAACCTCTCTTCACCTCTATGTAGTACTAACACATCTAAAAGTGTGTTGTACCCATGTAGGATACTTATTAGACACCGACACTTGTCCAACGCGCCTTAATGTTTATTTGATATTACAAAATATATGTTTGAATTTTTTCAGACCTGAATATGTTAAATAAATGCCTTGACATCACATCAGACATGAGCTCAACTTGATTTGAGAAATAATATGAAGCAGGAAATAGAAAATTATGAGTATACATATAACCTTAATTATGCATCATAGTTAAAATCACATCCTCTCTTGTCGTGTCAAAACTCTCTTTAATATTCATCAAAAGCTAATACTCCTCAAAGTCGAGCATCAAATCTAAGAATCAATAATTCCCTCTTTTTTGTCGAATCTAGCATTAAAGACTCATCATGTATTCTTCGAAGTTGAGCATTATAATTCTCTTATGCTCATTGAAGCCGAACTTGCACCTGCTAAAGTGGAAGCCATATGTTTTTTTTTCACATTCTGAAAAAGGAATCGAAACTCTTCGTTGAAGTTGATCCAAATATCCTACGAACTTTGTGACACTTGTGTTCTAAAAGTTAAATTTTAACTTAATTAAGTGTAAAGATAAGTTAAAACAATTCGTTTAAAACATATTCTACATCTAATTATAAAAATTATGCCTTTATAAGCATAAAAATTCATAACACAAATTAAATTGGTAAAATAATTTTATTTATATTTTATTTTATGTTGTGTTTAATAAAAAAAATTATATTACGAAATATAAAAATATATTCATGATCTATCACGTCTTTGTATGAAGACCTTGTCCGATCCTGTACCCGTTTCCTCCTTCCCGGCAACATAGGTTAGTATCTCCACTCGATCTTTCAGCCGTGGCGGCTGGCGGCTAAAAGATGAGATTTTGCAGTTTCCGTCGTCTTGAAAGCTGCAGCATAGTTCTCTTCGCTCTCCTAATCGTGTTTTCATTGTTCCCAAATCACGCGCTCGGCCACAAATCGGCCGACGCTTTTGTTCAGAACGCAATTTACTCCAACAAAATCACTATATTTTCCAAATCTTACTGCCCGTACGGTCTCCCTTCACTCTGTACTTCTGTATTTGATGGAGAAGTAATGCTTTGTTTTAAGGTTCTCTGAGTTCTCTTTTATGATGCGTGATTTACTAAAAAAATCGCCTTAAAAATCTCTTTTCTGGGTTTTATAATGCTTAGATGGGGGTTTATAGGACCTATTGCTGTTCAATATTGCAACTCGCATTGCATTGATGTAATTCTAGATTTGAGTGATGATGTATGCTAGTTATCACAGAATTACACCAAAAGATCCTTGTTAAGAACGTCTGAAATCTGAACGGGGCATTGTTATATTTAAAGCTCATTGGTTGCTCGAAGTTAAAAATACTTTTTTTTTTTAAGCATATTTTTTCTTAGATTCTGTCATTAATGGAAATTTATGCTTATGCACCTTCCAAACAACTCAAAGAGAGAGTTTTGTTTTTTGCACACCGAAGACAAAATCTTTACTTTCTGAAACAGGTTATCTACAAGCATTGGCTGGAGCCATTAGGATTTAGGACTGTGCTTTACTAGGATTCAGCTCCAATTAGAGTTATAACTTGATCCTTAGGGGTTGTATGCTAATGGAATTAAGTAGGATTTAACTTAAATCTTGACAAACAAAAAAATAGCAATTTTAAATCCAGGATTTCGTAAACCCAATTCCTTCTAAATTTTGTCTAAAATTTCGGATTTACTAAATCTTAAACTCGAAAAACTAATGAGCTCATGTTGTATCTCGTACTAACATGGCTCATTAGCTCATGAGTTAAATTGTTTAAAAAATATTAGCATAAATTATACATAAAAAAGTTGCGTTAAAGAATTTAATTTTTGAAGTCAAAGAAATTCTAAATTTCTACTTTCTCACTGCTATTTTGCCAATTTATTATTATTTTTCCTTTCAATTTCTCATTCTTTATAGGGTTTGTTGATGTAACACCTCAAATGTGCATTCATCTTCTTTCTTTTATAATAAGATGGGCTGGCCAAACTCATTTAGTTTAAATTGACCTCGAGCTTGATTAATTTGTCATGCTTAACCAGAGCCTGGAGTGGCCCCAGCTCATCTCATCTCTTGCTTCAGTTACACTAGCAAGTCATTGGCTAACTTTCTAATTGTTTTCTTAATTTTTTGGGATATCTACACGCATAGCACTCGAAACTTTGTATTTATAAAATGAGCACTCAGGTCATTTTTTTTTTGCTGAAGTACAGAACAGGTGCATTTACACATGTCACGATTAAACCAATTGGATTTTGATAGGAATGAAAAATATGGGTTGAGGTTTTTATTGTGAATTTTTATATTTGATTACAAATTTGAAAATCAGATGAAATAGTGTCTTAGTTTTATAATTAGCTAACTTTGGAGTGTTATGTATGAAATTGCCCCTTTTTTATTTATGCTATATCAATGAGCTGATTGGTTTGGTGCAAGAAAGCAAATGGGTGTAATTGGTACAGTGATTTAAGCTCATGTCTGGGAAACCATCTCCTTCGAAAATATTAAGATGATTCATGGAGAGGGCTCTGGATTCCATTGGAAGCTGAAGCGATATTAAATCCACAGAAAACATAATGGAAAGGTACTTATTGTTTTTGCTCGAAATGTTTTGTCAAATGGCACAATAAAAGGGGTTTTTGGATTGGAAAGAGATGTTGTGGATGTTAGTTTGGTATGGAATATAAAATATGATTTGATGGAGCCATGAAGTTGGTAGTGGTTGATCTGGCAAATCAATATTTGCATTTCACTTCTGTTGATGTGCATGTCTGAACTGACTTCTCTTCGTTGAAACTAACAAGGATTCTTCCATAATTTATTACTTTAGGCTCACTATCTCTCCAACAGTATTTTTTTGAGTTATGGACATGAAGTATTAAATATAACAATTATTGGGTGCCTGAAATTGAGTTGGGAGGAATGCATATTGATCTTGATTATCATAAATTTGGAAAAAAATATCTCTTAGTGAACAGAATAATGGAATGGGCTATCCAATTTTTTGTTTTTGTTTTTGTTTCTTTTGGGTATGGATTTGATAGTTTTTTTTGTAAGTTGTGCGCGATGCATGATTTGTTCTGTAATTTAGTTCTCATTGTAGTTTTATTGTGAAGTCTTCACATAAGCTAATCAATCACATTGAGGATCCAAGAATCTTTAAGCCTTCTTAAAGTTGATAGAAAATAGTAATTGATGATATTCAATTTGTTTGGTGCTTTTTTTTTCCTTATAAATTTTGTTATTGCATTATGTAATAAAAATCTTATGGTCAATTTTATTCTATTGTCTTTTTTTTTTTTTTTATTGAATGCACTGCATGATAAAAGATGAAAAGCTATGAGGAAGCTCATTAATCTTTTTGATTACTTTTGTGGGCAATGTAGCTATGCTTATCATCATATCTTTTGAGCATAATGAGAAGTATAACCAACATTTATTGTACTACTATGTCAATGCTATGATCTTAATTTATACATGATTCTTATACATTTAAACATCATGTGTCTTGTCTTGAAAAAGTACTAATCATCCAAATAAATATGTATAACACATGATATCTTCAGAAATTTGAAATTGTTAAAATGTGAAAATGTTCGTGGTTCGAGTTTTCATTTTATGCTTTTGTTATTGTAGATATTGCAAACGCGTGAAAAGGATATTTAGCGAACTCAATGAGAAACCATTTGTCGTGGAACTTGATCTTCGAGGTACGTGATAGGTGCTATCAACAAAATTTTCTTAGGTCGATTTTTTTATTCTTGTCATGTTGAAGCTACGAAAAGTTATTGTACAAGATGTCTCCCAATGGCAATGACAAAGAAATTTTGTCAATAACTCGATATTTTTTACTTGATATGTGAATTACTATGGCATACTCATCCATTTTTTAGGTGAAAATTTTAAGTGATTTTTATCATGATGCTAACCACTATTTTTAAGTATTATTGATATGCCTTCCGATTCTATTAACTTGTGATATATTATTCTAATTAGTTAATTCAATATCAAGCACATATCATGCTAATTTAAAAAGATTAAATTCTTGAATCTCAAAATTCTAATATTCATCTATTTATAAGATTTTAACATATTTTTTAATGTTATCCTTGGAAAAAAAGTTCATTCTTTCTGTTAAAATTTTTTCATTAAAAGACAATAATACATAAATAATAATGTCATTAGAAAATATTAATTATTATCCTAAGAAATTAAAAATTTTGGTTATCAATAATAACAAATTTGTATAGAATAAATGTTATTTTTGTCCCTTAAGGATCTCAAGATTACAAAGGTGACTTTGCAGGCGATTTAAGAAAGCAAAAAAAAAAAAAAAAAAAAAATTTCAAGGGGAAGAGAGGAAGAACAATGATAATGGGGTAGTGCTTGAAAGAATGAAGCCAGAACTCAGGATGTTAGAGATTTTTGTATAGCTAAAGTATATATGTTAATAGTTGGATCTAGCATATAGCATAGGAAGACGCATCTCTCGTGTTTCTCTTGTAGTATGGTGTAAGATGCCAAAATAGCCATAGTATATGCGCTATAACTCATGGCGCATTGTCCACGTTGTTGGCCCTATTTATTTTCTTTCGTAAATAAATTTATCATATTTATTTAATAATTTAATTTCTTTGTTCTCTATTTGTCATTTTTTTTACCTGGGGTTTTTTCGCTTTTAACCCGTGCCATGTTCTTCCCCACTTCAAAGTGATGTTGTTTTTCTTAAGGGGCTTCAGGGGTTATTGGTGTGGTTGTGGATGGTTAATGATTGTTGAAATTCTTAAGAAAAATGCTTATTGGTTTATGGTTTTTGAGAAATGTCTGGCTGGAAGTTTCTTGCAATGGCTGATATGGTTTTATTTCTATCTTATGTAACTTTTAGCAAGTGTCCGTTGAAGGTGGTATATTTTTCCATCTTCTTATGTAACTTTTAGCAAGTGTCCTTTGAAGGTGGTATATTTTTCCATCTACCCAAAAATCTGTGTTGTTAATTTACGTTGATCAATGTGTCATCACTGATGAGGCCTTAAATCTCAAGATTTACTTGCAAATAATTTCCTTATAATTTTTCAGAATAAGATAATAAATATTCCATGTTAATTACAGAACTAATGTAATTTATTAAAGGGCAAATATATGTGGGATGTGTTTGGCTTTTTTTATTTAGTAGTGTTATATTTTTCGGGGCAAGTTTGTATTAGTCTATAGTCCCCTTCATTAAAGTCCCTATGTGTTCTATTTTGGTTAATTACTTTGGCATATGTATAATTGCTCATTTTGATTTGTTATCTAAAGTTAGAATGCAGCTCATGAAGTTTTTAAATTTTTATTTTTATTTTTGCAAATGTAAGTAAAGGAAAATTTAGATAAAGCATGACTAGAAGTATATTTTTTTAAGTTAACAATTCTTTTGGGATTAAAACTACAAACAAAAGGTGCTTTGCATTTTTGAAATGTTGCTCTTATTGCAAACTATTATGTGGATAAATTTAAGTTTAAAATTTTTATGGTCTGGCCTACTAATAATTTTATTAGGTTTTTTAAGATTTTGTTCGCTACTTCTTTTTGTCCATATATATGAGGATGAAAGATAAATCAAAGTTTCAACTTAGTATCTAGGAATCTTCATATTTTCTAAAATAAGACAATTTAACATATTTATTTGACATAATGTTGAAACATAACATACCATTTAAAAATCTCCCTAATGAAAATCTTAGCTATATGTGATGCATCCTTAGTCTTGGTAAGAAGTCTTGTCTTTGAAAAACTTTCAACCACTATAGGTTACTGAGGTGTTGTAGGAAGGCCAGTGAAATTGACTTTCGATTTGTGTAACTTATGAATTAAGAAATTCCTAAGTGAAGTTAAAGGGATGCATAAATTTTCTCTTAAATATGATAGCCATTTTATGTTATAAAGTTTCTGCCAAATTACATGTTTGGTCATTTAAGTCATTATATAAGATGTGAAAATAATTCAAGAAAAGGAATCCCATTTTTATTATATCAAGGTCAGGGTTTGAAATTCTAAGGAAGTAAGCTACCTTAGACGATGCATCAACTTTATTTTGGGCTCTAGACTTATGTTTGAGAATGATGCTCAGATGATGGAGTTGTTCAATCCATTTCATATGAATATAGTTTTGTATCTTATTGGGTTTATATAAATTATAAGACATACTGGTTTGTATTTAAGATGAATTTTTTGTGCAATATGTATTTTTTCCAATGCCTTAAAGATTGGATAATCATATAAAACTCCATAAGTGAAATATCTTTGTTTTTTCTCATTGAGTTTCTCACTAAAGAAAGTTATGGGATCATTTTCCTTATTAAGGACTCTTCCTACGCCTATTCTAGAAGCATACAAAATACTTATATGTTAGATAAATTTCACAATTGAGGTATAAGAGAAGACACCATTAGAATTTTAACTCAATTAAATATTTTAGATACTCCAAGGTTTTTTTCCCCCCTTAAAGAGCTAGTGATCGGGGCTACTATAAAATTAAAGTTTTTGATAAATCTCCTTTAGAAAATGGCTAGTCTGTAAAAATTTCTAACAACATTGAACGCCTTTGTGGTTGGCCAATTTGTGATAGCTTAGTGGGGCCAATTTGATTCCTTTATACTTGAACATGAATTCTATGAAAAATTGACTCAGTTTGATTGAAAATATATTTAGTTCAATTCACATAGAATTTTTCTTCCCTCACTTTATTGAAGATGATCTTGAGGTTGTCTAAATTATAACCTGGCGAAATTAAAAAAATGAATAATCAAATTAATGCAGAATTATTTTATTGACATGAACAGGGGTTATAAATTATTTTTTCATGAATCCTAGAACAAGAATGACTAAAAAAAGGAAATAGTAGGAAATCAATGATATAACACCTAATATCTCCAATTAATCAATTCATATTAATTACTTGGAGATAGAGAAAACACCATAAAGCATAAAATATAAAAGGAAATAACTCCACAACAACAACAAAGCCTTAATCCCACTACGTGGGGTCGGCTACATGAATCCTTTTTCTCCATTGCGTCCTATTTAGTGTCATATTTTCATTTAGTTCTAGTAAATTAAGATCATTTTTAATACAATAAGCCCAAGTCTTCCTAGGTCTACCTCTGCCTTTCCTAATACAAGTCGAATTTAAAACATCTACTCTCCTAAACATCTACTCTCCTAATCGACGTTTAATGTGACCAAACCATCTATAACGACTTTCTCTAATTTTATCCATCACAGGAGCTACACAAACCCTATCATGAATATATTCATTTCGCATTTTGCCTGTAAGTGTAAAGCCACTCATCCACCTAATCATTCTCATCTCGGCAACACTTAACTTATTATTATGCTTCTCTTTTAAAGGCCAACATTCAGCGCCATAGAGCATTGCAGGTCTCACCACCGTCTTATAAAATTTTCCTTTTAGTTTTAGCGATACTTTTCTTTCACACAAGAGGCCCGAAGTGTTCCTCCACTTCAACCAACCAACTTGAATTCTACTATTAACATCCCCATCTATATCACCATCGCTTTGGACAACGGACCCGAGATATCTAAATCGTTCACACCTTTTAATAATTTGATCACCCAAAGTAACACTTCTGTCACTAGAGCTATTAATACTAAAATTACATTCCATGTATTCAGTTTAGTTCTACTTAAGCGAAGGCCTTTAGACTCCAATGTAGACCTCCATAATTCAAGTTTTTCCTGGGCTTTTTCTCTCGTTTTATCCACGAGAAGAATATCATCAGCAAAAAGCATACACCAAGGTACATCCGCTTGTAGATGTCCAGTAAGACCATCCATAACTAAAGCAAAAAGATATGGGCTTAAAGTCGATCCCTGATGTAAACCAACAGAAATAGGAAAATATTTTGTCAATCCTCCTTCAGTTTGAACACAAGTAACAACTCTAGTATACGTATCTTTAATGACTTGAATATAAGTCATATCAAACATTTCTTCTCGAGAACTCTCCAAAGGATATCTCTTGGAACCTTATCGTAAGCTTTTTCTAAATCAATAAAAATCAAATGTAGATTCTCAATGGACACGAAAATTCATTCAATTGGCTTTTGAAAGAAGACAACCTCTAGAAGATTCATTGAATGATGACACATTTTAAAGAGACCACATCTTTTGAATTTTTATAAAAAAAGACTTGGATCATCCATGAAAGAGGTCAATCATCATCATCCATCCAGACCGACCGGTGCCATTCGCCACATCGCCGCCGTCGCTGCCCATCTTTTTTTTTTGTTTTTAGTGTATTTTTATTGTGAGTGAAGGAAGAGATTCAAATAAACTTCAAGACAGTTGCTGGAGAGAAATTTGGGATAATTTTTTATCTTTGTGACTACATTTGGTTTTAATTTAGACTTTTTATTTGTGTGCATAATTTCTACTTTAAAACTCAAGTGTGTTTGTGTTTTCTTCATGAATTTTGAGTAATTTTATTTATTTTTTTCCTTAAAATGATAAGTGATTAAATATTGGAGAGAAGTTGTGTGAAGTATTAGACTTTAATGTTAGAAGAAGTTGTGATGATTTTAAACATTGTATTTCATTTACTTCTTGATTTGGCCAATTAAGATGTTAATACCTGTTGTGAGAACATGTAAGATCTGAGATGGTATTGTCTCAGTCAACAAATGGTAAGAATCACATCTTGATTT